GCCCCCGCGCGCCTGGCTTGCGGGGGGCCGGGCCTGCGGGCGGCCGCTGCGCCGCGCACCCATGGACGGCCCGGCTATCATCACCCAGGTGACCAACCCCAAGGAGGACGAGGGCCGGGCGCCTGGCGCGGGCGAAAAAGGTGAGGAGGGGTGCGGGCGGCTGCGGGGGGTGGGGTGGCGCGTGAGCGCCTCTAGCTTTGCCGGAGTTCGCTGTGTTCGCTGGCACGGGCCTGGGGGATGGGTGCACCCGACTGGAAGGTGCGTGGGTGTGGGGTGCGCCTGGAGGAGAGAAAGGCTAGAAATGTGCGTGTGCTGAGCTAGGGTGAGTGTGCATATAGCCAACAGAGAAGTTGTGATCAGTGGATTGTGCGCGCGAGTGCATGCTCCCTTGTAGATTTCTGGGGTCACCTGCGGAGGTGTTGGAAGGGTTTGTATGCACCTCTAGTGGAGGTTGTGAGAGTTCTGTACGTCTGACAGGTCGTGAATGCGTGTGCTTATATGTTGTGTGTGCACACACCGACAGAGTGTAAGGATGTGAAGGCACCGAGCAGAAAGTGAGTGCATGTTTTTCTGACAGGCTGAGTTTGTGTATGTGTCTTGTGTGGAGGTCTGTGTATGCCCCATTGAAAGGTCTTGGTGTGTGTGTGTGGGAGCTTCGGCATGCAGAGAAGCTGTATGTGTGTTTACTCCTGATAGTTTGCGTGTGTTTGCCTGTACCACACTGAATGTGTTGTGACCTCCATTGGGAGGGTGTCTGTAAGAACTTACACAGTGAGGTTGTGTGTGCATATGCACGCCTGACCATGAACCTGTGTGTGCAGATGTGTGTGCCTGCCTGGTACCAGACAGTGAGGCTGTGTGTCTGGGTCTATTCAGATGGTTGTGCAAGCTGTGGAGTATTTGTGGGAAGGCAAGACAGTGCGGAGCTATCTTCTCTTCCTTTGGGGCTCTTGTCTCAGGGCCACCAGTCTGTTGAACTTACAAGGCTTGTCCAGTCTATGACCCTTTTAGACTCCAGCTCTAAGGAGCCCTTGGGGAGCTCATGGGTGTCAGGAATGTCGCCTCCCAGAGAGCTGGCCACGGACTCGGCTGGTACTGTGCTGCTGTGCCTCATTTGGCTTTGGCATGTTGGGGCTTCACTCCCCCTCTGATTTCAATTTTCTTTGTGTTTCTTTCCCTCCTCCCCCAGATTAGTGTCCCCTTCTCTCAGACTTTGTTTATTGTCCCCTCTGGCATCCTGAGGTTTGGACAAACTGTTTTGAAAGGTCAACCAATCTGACTTGTTTTGTTGCCTGACGAAAGTTTGCCACAGTCACTTTCTGCCATTTACCCTGGAAACATCCGGACCCGCCAGGACCCCAGTGCCCTCTCAGGGCCTGAGCTGGCCACAGCAGACCTGTGCCTCCATGCTTGGCCAGTGATTGAGGAGTGTAGCACCTACTAGGAAGCGGGATAGGAGTGGGAGGACACTTCACTACCTTTTTCCAAGCAGGGATCCTTGAGCAAGCCCAGCAGGAAAATGGAAGATCTTCAGAGTAACTGAGGTTGGAGATTTGTCAACCATTTAACTATTTGTGCTCTGAATACTATAACTGTCAAATACCACATTTATAGATTTTTAATTTTTATGTAAGAAATTCAAACTCCCAGGCGGTTTTCTGTGTCCTACAAGTGAGCTAAAAAATTCTGCAAGAGGGTGCTCCACATGAACTCCATGATGCCCTGAGGCCAAAGGGGCAGCATCTCTGAGGGTAGTGTGGGTAGGGACTAAGAGTTCTTGGGGCCCTGGCTGAGTGTGTTCCCTCAAAAAGGTTTTGGTTGGAAGTGTCAGGGAGGCCTGCTGCCTGTGCTTCTGTCTGTGGACTGCGTTTTGTGATGTCCTGCCAGAGAATCCCTAGCTCTTGATTGTAGAGGTGTGGCATACAACAGGGAAATGTTTGTCTGTGCCTCAGCCCTCCAGCTGCCCCCACTTGACTCTTGGAACTGGAGCTTTGCCATATTTTCCTTTCCCCTAGCTGCTAAGATTTTTAAAGCAAAGAGACAATCCATTCAGAATTCAAACCATGTGTACATATGCAAAGAGTTCTGTTCAACTTGTTTACATTTCTTTCATGACAATCTTTTAATCTCTTTAACAGCCAGTTTTGTTTTTCATTGTCCTATTGATTGGTTGTTAACTGATTAGGGAAATTCTTTACCTGCCATCCGTAGGTGGGGTGGCTAGCTAGTAGATCTTTTTTCCCTGCAGCATTAAAATCCTACTCAATTGAGGTTTTCACTTTAAAAAGTGAATATAATTTTGGTCATCTGTAGTGTGGCATCAAACTTCACAGTCAGATTTTGAAATAATTTCTTAAGATTAGGGAACCACCAAACAGATTCAGCGATGACTCTAGTTTAAGTGTGATTTCTTCTGGTAAGTACAATGTATTTTATATAATTTTATTTTTTATGTCCGGAAT